CCACCCTGCCCAGCCACCGGCATCGCTACGCGGCCGGGAGCTGGGGTTGCTCAGGGTGCCGGCCCATAAAAATGGGCCAGTCGCCCTGGAACCAGCTCGCATCTGGGCCACAGCTGGCTCCGGGTACCAGAAGTGCCCCCTGGAGCCTCCTACGCCCTCTCGGCTCCCCCGTGGACGGGCTGTTACTTTGCACGGGACCGTGTCAGGTGCGTTTCCTCCCCCAGCAGAGCAACGGCCGTTTGTCCCGCGGGGTATTTCCAAAACCGGCAACCCCAGCACCTCCCACCAGAGCCCAGGGCACAGAGGTGTCTCTGTTAACAGCTCTCCCACCAAATGTTTCCGCAGCTGTTTTGTGGGACACTGTATATCCAACCAAATGTGCCAGGCCACTGGGAATAAAGCATATTGCTGGTGTAAATCCATTTCCCACTGGCGAGGGGGGCACAAATGGCTTCAAAATGGAGTATCTAGACCGAAAAATGCTCAGGGTGCACAGCCAGGTTTATGGTGGAGTGACAAGGGGGCAAAGGCTCAGATGGTGGCTTCAGGATCTGGCCCCAACCTTGCCCCTGGGTGATGCTCGCTGATGGCAATTTGCCTCCTGGAGGGGTTTAGCAGGAATCCCTCAAATGCAGCCTCAAAGCCACAGAGCAAACTGTCCAGAGACACCACCCAGTAGTGTCTACTGTAGCACCCTATATCCCCAGTGCCGTGGGCCACCCAGGGCAGCTGGCTGCTGGCAAGAGGGATGAGCATCCTGCAGCACACCCGAGGTGCAGGTGATCCAGGTCTTTCCTTGCTTTCCTGTATGGGAACCCCCTGTGCACAGCTGGATCCTGCCAAGACGTGGGTGCCAGCTCTCTTCAGGTTCATTTGGATTTGGGATTCCCCATCCCATTCCCCTGTCTCCACCTTTCCCCTCTCACCTCGTGCTTTGAACACGCCTACCTGCCATCTGCATTACACCCAGCACACCCCGGTCCCAAAGTGCTGCCCCGGGGCAAATAATAACAAATAATAACAGCCTCATACCCCAGCACACCCCACAATGCTGATGGGGCTGCAGCTGGCGTGCAGTGACCGGGCTGGCTCGGGACACCTCGCTCACCTCTCATTGCTGGGTGAGGCTCCCACAGCCTCTTTGCCACGATAAAACCCATTTCGGGGCTTGGCTGGACGATCCCTGCTTGCATGGGAAAGGCCACAGCCCGGCCACCCCAGGAGAGGGGCTCACCCTGTATCTATCACCCCCCCGGCTGCACCCTCCATCCCGCACACCCAGCCCATGGCTCCCGGGGCTCGAGTGCCAATTCCTGCAAAGGGAGCGGTTTGCCGCGTCATTCCTCTGCCAGGCCTCCAAGCCCGCGGGCTGTACACCTCCTCCGGGGTTTTACAAGCCGTCCGGCGGCCAGGACCGGTGGGAGCTGGGCAGGGAGACATTGGGATGCGTCAGAGCCGCTGCCGGCCGGCTGAGCTCGCGTGGAGGCAAACCTCTCCTCGAAAAGTCAGCGCAAAACTATTCATGACTCTCACTTCTTTATAAACACAGGCAGTACCT